ACGGGGAAAAAATAAGAACCAAGATGCATTATGTAAAAGTACAATTCCCAATGAGAAATGTAATTGTGTTGTGTACCTAAAATGTACCAATAAAAGAAATTTAAAAAAAAAAAAAAGAATTCTATTTTTGATGTACATTCAAACCCCAAGACCTCTCTTAAGCTACAAAAGCACCACCAATAGATGACTAGCAGCTAAATTTGTATCCTATTTTCGGCTGTCTACTTTATCTTTACCTGGGAACAGGTGGAGGGGGAGGTGCAGCTCCCCGGCCTCTTACTGGCACGCCACGTCCACGAGAGGGCTCAGGTACTCCATTCAAGTACGATAGCTCTAGAAATTGTTCCTGGCAGATATCATCCATCATATCCTAGGAATGAAAGACAAGAAATATCATGCAACATCTATTCTGTCTGCAAGAAAGTCATCTGGCTCACCTGAGTCTCGGACGCTAAGAACAGGTATGAAAGCCCAGATCAAGTCTCAGGTCATTCATTCTCTGAAGCTGAATGACATCCTATGGGTCACTCCTTTGAGGAAAGTCTTGATGATAAACCCTTCATTTTTTTTTTTTTAAGAGTACGAAAAATTCATTGGGAGAAAGAAAGCTTCTGCCTAAGAGAGACAGAAGGGGAACCAGAAAGTGGGTTGCCCCAACCCATCATTATTCTAATGGAGCTCTTTAGGAAGTGTTCCCTGCTTAGCTTTCCATATATAATCTCCTTTCAAGCCATGCTGAACAACCTGTAGTTCAGAGCCTGGCATACTCTCACACATCCATTCTCTGCAAATAGTTTTCTTTTCCTAGAATAATAAAAGCCAGTACCATTAATGGAGTTCTATGAACTGGGTAATATATAAGCTTTTTACAGATTTTTCAGTTTAATCTTCAAAATGATCCTAGACAGATCTTCCTATTTTTAAGGTTAAGAAACAAGATTCAGGAAGTACAAATCAATCAGCCTAAGAACATGGGGCTAATAAATGGCAGACAAGATGTGAATTTAGAACAGCCTGTTACCAAAATCCAGGTTTTTGAAACAACAGATCATACTGCATTTTTTTTACCCCCACTCAAGGGACTCTAACTTGCCCATACAAGACTTACCTAAGATAGTATCTTTTTCCCTCCCTGGTACTGAAATTAAACCCAGGGACTTCATGCTGAGTCACATCTCTAGACTTTTAAAATCATTTCTGAGACAGAATCTTACCAAGTCATTAAGTTGCCCAGGCTGCACTTAAATTTGTGGTAATAACTTTTGAAAAAGCTTCCTGTTTGTGCCCTCAATATTTCCCTCTTTTCCAAAGCACCATGTAGTTCTCTCTACTCAGGTACTTACCACATTTTAGAATGGTTTATTTATCTGTCTTATTGATTATGAGCTCTTCGGGAAGCATTTTTGTAACTTCAGACACAAACACAGTAACTAGGCTCAACCAGCTATTTAACAAATGTTTGGGGTAAACAAGGATCGTGTGGCTCAGGTGAAATGACAAAGAGCACTCCTAATCCAATGCTCTTATTGTACCACAAAGACACCCTGGTATAATTAATGATCCTAGGGGAAAACAGAGGGCTCTGGTCATGGACGTAAAAATAAGCTTGGTTTTTTCCTTCACAAGGAAGAAGGGCTGGGGATGTCGATCAGTGGTACTGTGCCTGGCCGGCAAACAAGCACAAGGTCCTCAGTTTAATTTCTGGTACCAGACAAAAAAAAAGGATATACAAAAAGGAAGAACTAAAGGCCGGGGATTTAGCTCAGTGGTTCCGCCACCTGCCTTGCAAGCAGGAGGACCCGAGTTTGATCCCTGGTACCAAAAAAATAAAAATAAAAGGAAGAACTGAATTAAATGGCATTTGAAAATCTTTCCACACACTTCCCGTTGAGAGGCATTCAATCTTAATATTTCATGTATTTTTATTTAGGTGGATACATCTTCAGGAATAGAAGATTCTCACCTCTACAGAGATGCCTCCCTCAACTATCCTCTTATCTTACACATCATTGCTCCTTGAGATTCACATTTGAGAATCAAGCACCAATGCCAACTCATTGCTTAGATTCCTCCAAATGACACATCACCACTGAGGAAAGCCAGATCTCCTTGGCAGGCATCTTTTTCAAAGATTTATTTACCAGAAGCCTTGTAAAGCTATCCCACTGGAAAAATAGGCCAGAGATTAATACTAAACTAAAGAGGAAATGGGCATTCCTTTTATAGTCCTTCAGAAACTGGCAGGTCAGGATGTTCCAAGAGAACACCTCAAAAAGAGTAAAAAAGAAAAACATTCCCCCAAGGAAAAATTAACCAGCTCTGAGTTTTTCTCCAGGATACGTTTGTGTTTTTGCGGTACCGGGGATAGAACTCAGGACCTTGTGCCTGCAAGGCAGGCGCAGTGCCACTGAGCTAAATCCCCGGCCATCCAGGATATGGTAAATTGGCTGTTCATATTGAACATTCTAATAAAGATGAGTTACTTGGAAGCAAAGATGCTGCTGAGGCATCTGAGAGAGTATCAGAATACATATTTGTATTATAGGTACAGACTTGCCTAAGAATTTTTGCTCTACCAATATTCATCATCCTCTGATACAATCAGTTCTAACTCCCTCATTTTACATTCAAGAAATCCAAGGACTATATACCTCACCTCCTCTTAGTCTTAGTAATGAAAATACTACATTTATCCAATTTTACTTGAACAGTATTCCAAATCCACCTGCAAAGTCCCAGATTCATCCTTGATAGTAAATAGTCAACAGTACTGTGTTAACTCTGACAACCACTAGTCCTTTATGAAAGGCAAAAACAGACCCATTTTCTACTTATTCAACAGTAACGCGGTTGAGCATCTCTAGTCAGAAAATCTGAAATTCTTAAAAATCTGAAACTTTTTGAGTGCTGATAAAATGCCCTAAGTGGAAAATTGCACATCTGCCCTCATGTCATGGGGTTGCAGTCATAACACAGGTATACTAAAAACACTGTATAAAATTACCTTCAAGATATGCATAAGGTGTGTATGAAGAAAATGAATTTTTTTAGGCTAGGGTTCCATCTCCAAGATATCTCATGTATATGCAAATTCCAATGAATGAATACATTCGTTATTCATTTATCATCATTCCTAAAGCTGGAATACTTCCGGTTCCGAGCATTTAAGGGATATACAACCTGTAACCTGACCAGGTGGTAATAAGTATGATAAACACCCTGGCCTGTCCCAAGTCTTCTTGGGCTTCAGTTATACTCCGAAAGGAGCTATACACCAACCTCTTTAATATCAAACCTGAAGCTTTTAACAGATGTTTCTTGCAAATCAAACTCCATTACAATAAATTTCTTCAGGAGAGGAATCCCTGAGTGCACCAGTAGATAAAGCATACAGTAAAAATCTTGCAGTGCAGGGACCCAGCTTAGTCATTTTCCTAATATAACTTCCTAGTTCCACACTTGTACCAAAACAGTGAGCTCAATGAGGATTCATCTTTGTTAACCAGATTATCAGAATGCAGTTATATTATGGACCCAAGATATTTATAACATTCTGGTGCATAATGAAAGCCACATTAGACAAGGAAGGGTATAGTGGCAATGAGACACAGTGCTTTGAGAACTAGGTATGAGTAATGGACCACCTCAGAAAAATGAACACAAATGTGGAATTTGGTATACAATTTCAGGTTAGGCAGAAACCTTGGTTAAGAAGCCCTGCCTTCACAATAGCCTGTGATCCTATTTCTCCCTTATCTGGAAGGAAAAGGATATGGATTTCCTTACTGGTACTAGAAACTTCTTGACTTCTTCCATGGCATGGGCCATAAGAGCATAAGCCTCACATGGGGGTCCAAAGACTTCAATGAAGACATGCAGATCCATATTCAAGTGGGCATATTTGGGGTCTCCACCCTTGCGGAGCTCTTCCTCCTGTGGAAAAACATCACAGAGACTAAGGAAAAAACAATACCCTTACCTCTAGATGAAAGAGAGCAAAAAAATAACAATTATTACTAAACAAACAAAAAATAGCCCAGTGTGGTGACATGCACCTGTAATCCCAGCACTTGGAAGGCTGAGGCAAGAAGATCACAGGTTTGAGCTAAGCCTGGACATCTTAGTGAGAATCTATCATGGGGTGAACATATGGCTTAATATAAAGGTTCTGGGTTCAATCCTGAGTACCACACACACAAAAGGTAGGGAGTAGGGGGTTAAAAGTGGGGCATGGTGGTGAACACCTGTAATCCCAGCACTCTGGAGGCTGTGGCAGTAGGATCTCAAGTTTGAAGGCAACTTGAGATACACAGCAAGACCCTGTCTCAAACCACAACCCCTCCAAAAATAAATTTAAAAAAAGAAAAAGAAAAATTAGCTCTGGAGAACAATAATTTACACAACCTGCTAAACCTGCATTTTGTAAAACTTTCTCTTAAATCACTTGGGTATTCACTGGAACTCTTATTAGAAGACACAAAATAGAAAAGGATTCTAGTCTATTTGGATAACAGCTGTTTGTCAAGCATTTGCATGCATGTATGTATGTACTCTATATACGTACATATTTATAGACAACCATTTGTTTTTAAATCCAAAATAGAGCTGTTAATTACTACCAGCTGTTTATCTGCTTACATGGTCTGGAGAGTTCCAAAGGAGAAAAGAAGGCAAGATAGAGAAAAGCTTATGTAAATTTCACTAGCTAAAATAACATATTTCAGCTTAACTGTAGGGATCTAATAAGAAATGTAACAGACAAAAGAAAAGGGTCTCAGAAAACATTTTTCAATTAAGATACATAAGAGGAGGCCTGATTTTAGGCTGTAGCAGGTAGACCTCATCCAAAAAGTCAACTGAACATGACTAAGACCATTCTCTTGTGGTGGGAAGTTTCTAGGCAGTCACAGAATACAGTGTATGGGGCCATGGCATAGAAAAGAAAGAAGCATTAGGTGGGTTTTGTTGCCAGGATTACTCATGGTTACTTCTTTTTTTGCGGGGGGGTGGGGGGTGTACAGGGGATTGAACTTGGGTCCTTGCAGTTGCACAGCAGACAGCAAAACCACTGAGCTAAATCCCCAGCCCTACTCATGGTTACTTCCGAATACTGTACATTCTTTTAGCAGGCCTCACATTCCAGCTGCCTAGAAAACAAACCATCTAAATCTCAAACTCACCTGCACTCACAACACTATTATTCTCACGTATTTATGTTACTGGAACAAGGTGTGCTGTTCACACTGTGGTGTCTTCATTCTCCCATATCAAGTTTTCACAAATAAATTTACCAGTGCCAAAGATGTGACTGCTATTTGTAATACTACACAGCCAAAAGTCAGAAAACAATCAACAGGATACACCTAGGTTCTTCTAAGATTGCTAAGCAAGTAAACTAACTTGGTCTATAATCTCTTGCATCCAGTGAAAATTTAAAGCAGCCACCTTTTGTACACATACAAAAGGCTAGCTACTTTTTGGAGGTGGGTACTGGCAATTGAACCCAGGGCACCACACATGCTAGGCAAGTACTGTACCACTGAGCTACATCCCCAGCCCTAAAATGCTAGCTTCTGTACATTAGTAAATCATCCATACTGGACACCAGGCAACTAGAAGGTATTAGGGTGTTCTCCTGCCTCATTAACATGAGCTTACCTTGGCTTTGTCTCTCATTGAACCCTTTCCCAACACAGAGATCTTTGCACCAGTCTCTTCCTGCAGTCTTTTGATTGTATTCCCCTGTGGTCCAAGAATCTTCCCCACAAAATTGAACTGGCAGAAACAAACAAACAAAACTTTATAAATACATATGCTTCTAAAAATATTTTGACATATATATCTCATTTGATCTTCAACAATACTGTAAAATAGGTAGAGTATTAACACTTCCATCTTACTGGATGGAATATATACAGATGATATACCATGATTAGCTATAAGATATCCAACTAGAAAGTGGCAGTTTCTAGACCAGAATCTGGGTTTCCTGCTGTAGTCTGGTGTTCTTCCCATAACACATTGCAACCCTTAATACTTTAACATAAATAAAACATTTTAACAAACATTTTTAAGGTGATGATCTCAGAACAGAGCAGAGATCTGGCACCCTTTAGTAACATGTTGGGCAAACTAAATATAAACAACCGCTTTTCTAGAAAAAGAAAACATTTCCTAAAAAAGTAAACTTTGAGTTGGGGCTGGGGATTTGGCTCAGTGGTTTCATCACCTGGTGCGCAAGGGCAAGGACCCAAGTTCGATCCCCAGTACCAAAAAAAAAAAGTAAACTTTGAGTAAGAAACAAAATTAACTTCAACCAGTCAAGGATCTGTGTTACATTTTCTTTTATTTAGATTTCAGGTCAGTCTCTTGACAGACAGCAATTCTGTAGAGTTAGTTTTTTCTTTGAACTTGTAGTCCAAACATTTTTTTTGTTTTGTTTTGGGCTTTGGTTTTTTACACTTGATCTTAGCCAAAAGGCCGAGAAGCGATTGGGCTTTGGTTTTTTGAGACAGGGTCTTACTATGTAGTTCGGGCTGCCCTGAACTTCCTATGTGTCCCAGGCTGGCCCAACTCATAGTGATTTTTCTACTTCAACCTCCTGAGTACTGGGATTACAGGCATGTGCCACGACACTCCGCCCAAACGTTCGAAAAAGAAATAATTTTTTTTTTTTTTTTTTTAGTATGGCAGTGTTGGGGACTGAAGCCAGGGCCTCTGAACTGAGCTACATTTCAACTCTTGTTTTGAGACAGAGTTTCACTAGGTTGGTAAATAGCCCAAGCTGAGTTTGAATTTATGATTCTCTTGCTTTAGCCTCTCAAAATGCTGAGATTACTATGCCCAGACAAGAAATTATTATTATTACTACTATTATTTTGGTAACAGGGATCGAACTCGGGACCTTTCGCTTGCAAGGCAGGCGGCGGAACCACTGAGCTAAATCCCCAGCCAGGAAATTACTTTTGATGAAAAAAAAATTGTATTTCTTTCCTGACTATAGCTATGCTATTGTTACGGGTTTAGGTAACTGCCAGAGACAGGGACTATGGAAAAGAAGTTTCAGAGGATTCAGGTCCAAGGCACTGCAATTTCTAGAAGTCCTGATCATAGCCAATGATTCTCCTACCTGCAACGTTAAATCAAGGAAGAGGCACTTTTTGCCTTACCTTTGGGTACTGTTTGACAGGTATCAGTACCCGCTCTTTCAGCTTCATGTTCTTATGAGAAAATAAATCCAAGTAATTCTCTTCATCATCCTTTTTTGAATCGCCTTTCTGAATCTTCTCAATTTCTGAACAGGAGAAAAGAGAATTTATTTCTGATCCATAAATAAAGGCAAATTTCTATGACCGCTTAAAGCAATAATATAGGGTACTATGTAATAAGACCAAATCGTTCAGATGAATGTGCAAATTTTAGACTGACAATACCAAAGCTATATTAGGTTGACTAGGTCACTCACCTGAAGCCTTTATATCATTTAGATATTTTTTGACTAAGGAGTACTATAAATAGATTTAAGAGAACAAACAGGATAAGATGGAGGAAAAAGATATAAAATTTTTTTTTTTGGTACCGGGGATTGAACTCGGGTCCTTGTGCTTGTGCAGCAGGTGGCGAAACCGCTAAGCTAAATCCCCAGCCCAAGATAAAATTTTTTTAAGAATAACAAAATCTTATTAGCCAGGCACAGCTGCATATGCCTGTAATCCCAGCTTCCTGGGAGGCTGAAACAAGAGGACCACTTTTTTGAGCTCAGCCAGTACAGAGCCTGCCTCAAAATAAAAAATAAAAAGGGCTAGAATGTAGCTCAGTGATAGAACATCCCTGGGGTTAACCTTCAGTACCACACACACACACACACACACACACACAAATCAAAATCTTCATCAAGTAATGTCATAGCTTGATGAAGAAACAAAAAATAATTAAATGAATAATTTCATTAAAATTCCACTGTGGAAACAGTGCTTCTGGCTACAGTCCCTAGTTTCAAAGATCTGGTTCAAGCTAGGTGCAGTGGCACATCCCTGTAATCTCAGCACTCTGAAGGCTAAGGCAAGAGGATTGAGAGTTCAAGAACAGTCTGGGCTACACTAAAAAACCAAAACCAAAACCAAAACCCCGGTTGTTCTCTGCCACTCTCTGAAGTTTGGTTTCCTTATTTATTTATTTATTTATGTATTTAGGTACCCGGGATCAATGTCAGGTCCTTGCTCTTGCAGAGCAGATGGCAAAACCACTGAGCTAAAGCCCTGGCCTGGTTTCCTTATTTATAAAATAGACTTACTAGCTACCTAGTCAGCTTATAATAAAGACAATAAAATATGTACATATGCCCAATTAAAGCCCATTCCTTAGAAAGTGGTTAATATAGTCACCATTGTCTAATGCAAATACAGTCAATGTCCTAAACTACAGATCGCACCAAACTACTTTTTAAACCACCCTTCTAAAATATGATTGACATGTAAAAACTGTACATATTTAATGCGTACAATGAGGAGTCTGGAAATAAGTATATACTTGCAAAACTATCACCACTATCAAGGCCATGGACATATCCATCAGCACCAAGGTACTTTGAAATTTGCAGGTTGAAATAGTTTCATCAGACAGAACCTTTGCATCCAAAAGGATTTCCTATCCTTAAGGAACTTCATTCACTGCAAGTGTCTGAGTGCTTCCTATATATAACCAGATAACAGGAAAGATATGGCTAACATATTACCATGGGAGACTTACAAAGGGCCAGGCACCTGATCCAACAGAGCAAGTAGATATGGTCCCCATCTTCACTGTTTATACACTGTAATCCCCAGTTATGGGGGGAGTGACAATGAAGTATGTACAAATGACTGTTACGACAGGAATTCTAACAAAGATGGGTCTAGGTTGCCCAAAACATGAGCAGCAACTGAAAGGTTATACAGTCTATTGAGAGTAGGCAGAGAAGGAAATTTGTACTCTCTAAAATCAGTGGAACATTCTAAATAACAGAATATTCTCCTAATATAGTATTTCCATTCTATGTTTTTATCTACTATAATTTTGAGACAGCATTTCTCAAACTTCAACATACATCAGAATCATAAGAAACATGGGAAGCTTGTTCAACAGATTACTGAGAGCCAAACCCAGTCTGGGATTTGTGTTAGGAATTTGCATTTCTAACTTTAGTCACCGGGGATGCTAATATAGCTGGACTAGTGATGACTGGTTTATGGCATAAAGACACTAGCTCAGATTCTGCAAATCTATATCCCTAACAGTTTTTAAAGTACCCAGCTGTGAAATACACAAATGAAGGAAAGTTACTTGGGCAGATCTCAAAGAGTTCAGAATTTCAAACTAAAAGGCTTTTATTTATTTAAAAGCCTAATTTCAGGAACTATACTATGGTATGAACTGAGCATATACTCCCTTGCTTTCTGACATCTAAAACTGCTGATCAATTTTTTTCTAGGCAAGGTTGCCTGGCTGACCTCAAACAATCTTCTTGCCTCCATCTCTGGAGTAGCTGGGGCTACAGGCAGACAGAAGTATAAATGACAATGGTCTTCATATTCCTATGTTTCACTCCTTGGAACAGAAAATAATCTTACAATGAACAGACTGAATGTTATGCTCAATACTGTTTTATTGTCTCACTGATGGTAGATCCTGACCTCCACCCCTCCACGCTCACTTTTTTTTTTTTTTGTATTGGGGATCAAACTCGGGTCCTTGCGCTTGTCCACGCTTACTTCTAGTATTAACTTGTTCTGTCCCTTTCTTTCCTTTTTTTGGGGGGGAGGGGTGCTTTTTGAGATAGGGTCTTTATAGCCCAAGCTGGCCTCCAACTTGCAATTCTCCTGTCTCAGGCCCCTAAATTCTGGGATTACTACAGGCACGCAAATCACGTCCAGCTTACGTTTTCTGGCCACTCTTTTTGAGCTTAATGTATTGACTATACCTACTTTTGAGTTTACAGGTGTGGAAAACTAGTACTTGAAAGTCCTACAGGTGCCACAAATAGTGGTGTATGGTCATGATCCCAGCATTTGTGAGGGTGAGGGTAAGGCAAGAAGACAGAGTTTGAGGCCAGGTTGGTCTACATAGTAAGATCCTGTCTCAACAGCAAATGAAACAAAACAAAGCCCTACAGGAAAAAAGAATCCACAATTTTATCTGAAAACATCACTGAGAAGCTTTTGAGAAGGTGGAAAAATATTACATACTTTGTTTTATCTATTTCCCTATTTCCTAACTGCTACCATGTAATTAGGCCCTTCAGCTGCAGCTTAATCCACTTTCCAAAAACCTTACTCGGACACTGAGAGAAGGTAAGACTCAAAGTCTGGAAGCAGGGCTAAAAAATCGAATGCAGTAGAACGGTTTCTATGCAATGTACTGTATCCTGTATATTTAGGGCCTCTCTGTAACATGGATTCTTCTTTACTGTGATTTATTTTATTTTTTGAGACAGGGTCTCACAACATAATTCAGGCTGATCTTGAACTCAATATGTAACCTAGGCTGGCCTCAGACCTGTGGAGATTCTCCTGCTTCAGCCTCCGGAGTGCTGGGATTATAGGTGTCCACCACATCTGGCCTCTTCTGCTGTATTTTAAAATAGCTAGATTTTATTTAGACTACCTTTGTTAACTGTTTCAGTTTTTAGAAGAAAGTGAAAACCTTAGAGAATTCAGGTAACAGTGATCATTGAAATAAAACTGGGAGTTAAAATGATATAGTTGTTTAGCCTAGAAAGCAGAGGACTAAGAAGCAACAGCTTTAATAAGGGTTATTGTCCATATCTGGAGTAAACAGACTGAGTATTTTCAATGCCTACTATCTATTAAATGCTGTACAATTACCTCAACAAAGACTAAAACCAAGGCTTTACTGGTTGTGGTAGCTCATGCCTATAAACCCAGCATTCTGGAAGGCTGAGGTAGGAGGGTAGCAAAAGTTTGAGCCCAGGCTGGGGAAGTAAGTGAGACCCTGTCTCAAAAAAAAAAAGAAGTTCGATCCCTGGTACAAAAAAAAAAAAGGTGGGGAAGAGGATGACTGGGGATGTAGCTCAGTGGTTTTGCCAAAACCAAAATAAACATATAAACAGGCTTTTGCCTCTTAATAGAGGTACTTTATAGAGCTGATTTTATAAAATTTCAGAAAGTACAATTTATACTCTTTGATGTATCACATAGCCTAGCCTAAGGGTCTTCATTACGAGTACCTCAGATGTTCAGTTGCTTGATGAACCTTCTCTTTTTTGTTTTCAACTCTGTATTTCTCTCTTTGGCTTTACTTCCCTGACAGAGCTAAAGCAGCCTATAATACTAAGTGGAAAAAAAAAAAAGGTTCTTAAAAATGGCTTACCCTGGGCCAGGGATTTAGCTCAGTGGTTTGGCCACCTGCCTCGCAAGCACAAGGACCCGAGTTCGATCCTGATACCAAAAAAAAGGCTTACCCTCCAGCAAAAAAGTACTTTCAAGACAACATTTCTGAAACTGACTCCTTTAAGTCATCTTTGCCTAGGCCTCTGGAGACTGGATGTCTCAAGAGCCAAAGAAACAAAGGCTGAGGTGTAAACAACATAGAAATGCGACCCATTTGTTTCCTGGCCAAACACAATCATATATTATCCGGTGCCTTCAATACATTAGGACTTTTGAATTTATTATTTCATTTTGTCTTCATAACTAGTATTTCCCCCATTTAACAGGAAAAGAAACCTAGGCTCAGAAAAGTTATATAAATTGTGTTAAATCACAAAACTAATTAAAGTGACAGAAAAGACACGTTTTTAAACCCAACTTACTCTATACCAGCCAGTGAATTCAACTAACTTTAACAGGATTTCTTACTATAACATAAACTCCTTGCCAGGTGTGGTGGTGCACACCTGTAATTCCAGTGCTCCAGTAGGCTGATTCAGGAGGACCACAAATATAATACTGGGGATTGTATTTGGGCCCTGAGCATTGAGCTACATTCCAGCCCTTTTTAAAATTTTTTATTTTCAGACAGGATCTTGCTAAGTCAAAAAATTTCCCCAGTACCACCAAATAAAGGAAAAAAATTCATTTCCTTGCATTTGTATGAGTGTACCATGTTTTTGTTTTGGAGTAATGGGGATTAAAATCAGAGCCTTCACAAGATGTTGTGTCAGAGTCTCCCTAAATTGTTCAACTGCCCAAGCTGGGCTTGAACTTTCCATCCTCTTGCCTCAACCCCCCAGAGTACTGCGACTACAGACGTTCACTACCATGTCTGGCTTTCTCACCTAACCTTAGATTTCCAAGATCTCTCCATTATAGTTCATTCATTTTTCACTCACACATATTTTATAAACCTATCACATTATCCAATGAATGGTGAAAGAAACTGCATCATTTTTGGGAACAAGGTGCATCCTTTTATGAGTATGGTATTCACTTCCAAGTTTCTTTGGGAACATTCTTTTTTGTTTTTTTGAGGCAGTGTCTTGTCGCTATGTAGTTCAGGCTGGCCTTGAACTCACTGTGTAGCCCAGGCTGGCCTCGAACTCCTAGCAATACTCCTGTCTTAGCCTCCTGAGTGCTAGGATTACAGATGTGCGCCATCACATCTGATCTCTTTGGGAACATTCTTAAGAATGGTGCTTCCGATTTTAAGTAATTTGAACATTCAGCTCTCAGATGATGTGTCTAACTTATCCAAAAGGGTGTGTCAATCACATTTCCACCAGCCAAGTGTAAGAATTATCTCTAATTCACATCCTTTCAGGCCCTACTTCATATTTTATTTAATTTCTGCCAATGTACTATGTTTTCATTATTGCCCTGTCTCTAATAACATTTAGCACACTTATCTTCATTTACTTTTCTAGCTACTTTATATTCAACTTCTCCAATTGGAAAAATAAAATCCAGTGGAATCAGCTTGAAATATGCAAAAAAAAAAATCAACAGGTAAATTAAAAAGTACTGTCTTCTTTTTAGCTTTATTCTCCTCTCCCCTCCAAGGACATGACATATTTCTCTTTTGATTTAAATCAAGATCTTATGATTTTTTTTTTGGTACTGGGGATTGAACTCAGGACCTTGTGCTTATGAGGCAGGCATGGTGCCAATGAGCTAAATCCCTGGCCCTCTTACGATTTTTAATCTATTTAAAATGTTACTTGTAGAAAAAGAATGCTGACATACATTACAGCATTTTATGTATAAATTAACAAAAAATAAAAAAATCATTTTCCTTTCAGAAAATGAGGCTGGGTAGTTGAATGAATCCCTCTGTGTCTTCAAATGCATTTAATTGTCATCACAGTTGAGTATCAGTCTAACAGAGAAGTCAAAGTCTACATCCCTCAGAGTTGTGTCTGTATTTTTTCATCACACAATGAAAGTGAATATTCACTCATAAAATAATTTGTACACAAGGGCCAGGGATTTAGCTCAATGGCACCACTCTTGCCTGGCAAGCGCAAGGTCCTGAGTTTGATTCCTGGTATTGGAAAGAAAAAATTTGTGGACAGCTACTGTGGAGTGAGCTCTTCAAGGCACATGAGGTAACAGTGAAGTAGATTAAAAAAATAAGAAAATAAAAAAAAAATTCTTGTCCTGGTGGACAAGTCTAACCATGAAGGAGGAGTTATCAACACAAATATATATCATGCATCAGATGCTGGTAAGTGCAAAATAAACTAGAGAAAGAGTCTGGGAGAGCTATGTGAATGGTGCAGGTGGTCTAGGTCTTACAGTACCTTATGGGGACTGGGCAGAGGTGTCTGGAGGAGTCACAGTCCAAAGTGCTAAGCTCTGTTCTATAGGCTACCTCCTTCTGTTTTCTTGGCCTCATCTTCACTGCCCTGTTAGCACTCTTCTGTTTTTTGTTTTGGTACCAGGGATTGAACTCAGGTCCTTGCACTTGAGAGGCAGGCAGCGGAACCACTGAGCTAAATCCCTGGGCCTTTTTTGTTTTGAGACAGAGGCTTGCTACAAGTTGGTATTAAACTCACAATCCTCGTGCCTTGGCCTCCCAAGCACTAGGACTACAGGAGTGTATCACTACGCACAGCCTGTTAGCACTCTTGATACTTTCACATTTGTAACAGGCATTATAGTAAGGAAGGGGAGAAAGAGGTATTAGTTGTTGGAGAGAGAGGCATTACCGGTAGGTATGTAAATCCAGATGCAGAATGATTTTAAAAGCCTGGTTATGTTACTAATTTTGTTATTTTAGGTAAATTATTAATCTGTGTTCCTTGATTTCTTCATCTGTGATAAGTCATAGTAAGAGTAACTTCTCTGAGCTGACATGAAAATATTTCATGAAAAGTGTTCAGTCCAATGCCTAGGACAGTGTTAACCATATTTTTCTTACGTGTGTACTTACTGGAACTTAAATACTATTAAATACAGTACCGTTCAATTTTCTCAGACTTCCACTTTTTCAATTGGTTGTGACTTCATTGCAGTCCCTTTTTACAGATTTTTCAGAAATAGCTTAGAACATATATTAAGATTTATCCAATGCTAAGCAAGTCTCTGTACATCTAAATTCTGTTGTCTCAGTGAGCCAACATTACCTCAGTTTCATTTCTCTAATTAAAATTTCAGTTTGGCTAAAAAAAACCCAAAAAGCAACAACAACAACAAAAACCCACAGTCACCTGGCACAGTGTCATACCTGTAATCCCAGCTACTCCAAAGGCTGAGACAGGAAGAATGAAAGTTTGAGACTAACCTCAGCAACTTACCAAGGCTGTGTCTCAAAAAAATAAAAAATAAATAAAAAAAAAAAGGCTGAGGATATAGCTCAGCAGTTCCTGGGTTTGAGGCCCAGGACACCACTGCCCCCACAACTCACACAGACACACAAGTCATCAGCAAAAAGCCCAAGTTAAAAATTACCTTAGCAAAAAAAAAAAAAAAAAAAAATTATGTACACGTACAAATTCTCTATGATGAACGTGATCACTGTGTATATCTAGAATGTACACATAAAAAAATTATCTTAGTAATAACAAAAGTAAAACTGAGGAGGGTGAAAATTCCACATAACATTTAAGGTTTAATAGTTACTGAGTTATCTATCCTAAGATGCTATCTTTTAAAGAAATGAACACCAAAGGCAAAAATTTATCTTGTTTTCATACTTTGTTCAGTAGCATGAATTTACAATTAGAAGAAAATTATGGAGACAAGTTTTTATTTACTAATTATAGGTCAAAGGAAACTACTCGTTATCTCTTACATCATTTAATCTTCAGGATTCACCATTCCACTTTACAGAAGAGGTTGGTGAAGTTCAGAAAGACTCAGGATCAGGTAACTAGTTAAGGGTCAGTCTCCAACCCAAGCCAACACATTAAAGCTGTGAAGTCATTCTCATGCATTTACTCTTGATTAAAAGATTTGAGAAAATCTTTAAAGACCAAGACCAAGTTAAACTACCATTTGATCGGACATTTGTGTCTGTGTGCACTCTTTTTTCAGATTCAAACATCTGGTGTTTACTATTTTCCAGTCAGTATGACAAATATAAAAACAATCCTTGCCCTTAAAGAGCTTGTCAGAAGACAACTGATGTGTTACAATCAAGAGATGTGTTGCAAGACAACAAAGCACTGAGTTGAAAATGTAAGCAGTTTATCTAAATGTTCTTGACCACGTGTTTCGATTACTGTGATTAAAAAGCAAAAACTCTCCCCTTACCAATGTTGAGAGATTAAGAACAAAGGGAGAGAAATTATAGTTCCATAGTAAGTCCACTTTATTAATCTTGCCAGAGTGCAGCCACTCATTCACAGTTAAGGGCCTAGAACTTTTACTTGCTTAATAAAATTTAGGCATAATAAGAAATGGCTATTAAAACAATGTTTAAACTAGAATTGAGGTTCAAAGAGACAGTTTGATCAAGAAATCAGAGTGTCTAAGCGACTGGCAGTGCAGATCTAGAAAGGAGCGGTAGTCTGCAGAGAACAAAGGCTACTACTCTTATCTATTACTACTGAAACAAAACTAAAACAAGAAAAAGACCGAGCCTTTCAGGTACAAGCATCCTGCACCTTCATCCATTTTTGGTTCACCTCATTGGGGAACATCAAGCAAACTACCCTGGAGCGTCTTACTTCCCTCTATACTCTTATTTCACTATCTCGGTTTATTTCCCTCCTTTTTGAACTACCGCGAAAACTTGTTGTAAAACAAGGGGGATCCTTCCGATTTTCTAGCAATTCTAGTTTGATCCGCTTAAGTCGAAAGTCGGATTCGGAAAACCTCAAGCTCTGATTCCCATAAGTCGCTCCTGCCTGTGAGGAGCAACTTAAGCTCCAGTTACCGCTAAGTCCGGCCAAGCCCCAGAGACCGCAGCGCGCTGGACAGGGAATTCCAGCCTCACCCAACCTCACCTCGACCCTCCCTACCATGGTCGCTCCCGGCTCGGGCTGTCTTCACCTCCTACACCTTCAACTGAGTCGCGCACGCCACTCGCGATCAAAAAGGCTTTCCGTTTGGGGAAAGCCAGAACATAAAGGTTCATTTCTGGAAGGATCTGAGAGCGCTCAGAGCACCGGGCAGCTGCAGGGAGAGGGCGGTGGCAGGGTCGGGAAGGAAGGGGGGGGCAACACTATCCATCAAGCTCCTAGCGCTAAGAGATCGCCGAGATGTGTTCGGGCCTCCACGGCGACCCAGAAATCCTCCCTTGCACCCTCGGCCCCGGTGGGAATGTAGGATCCAGAATCCCCAAGATGAGGATGAGTACAGTTTTGCTGCCCGGATCCGCAAGGTGCAGAACGCAAGAGTAACAAAGCTGCGACCACTCACCGCCCGAGGGGCCGGGCGACCCGGAGGGACCTGGAGCCCCGCTTACCTGCAGTCAACAGCTGCATGGCGTGAGTAAAGGACGGGTCGAGGGAGTCCTTCTCGGCCATGAGTTCTGGCAGGTACTTGTTCTCCGGTTCCATCTTGACTGAGGCTGTGGCCGAGGGGGGCAGTAGCGGGGTAGGCGCTGGACCGCCCACTGTCGCGTCGGGACCTGTGGCCGACGGAGGCAGCAATGGTGGCGGCTGCGTGGCTGGTGAGGCCCGGGCGCCCCCTCGGGGGCCCCCTCCGCCTCCTCGGGACCGGTGAGGCAGCGGCGGAGGCCGAGATGGCGTCTGACGCACCGAGGGGTGGGCACCTGAGGGGTCCATGGAGCCGCTGCGGCCTGAGGACCGGGTCATCCGCGCGGCAGGGTCGTCCCGGCGCTGCATCAGTGACGGTGTGCGAGCAAGCGAGCGAGGAAGCGACGCGGCAGCGGCAGAGGCCCGAGCGGCGGTTGGCGGGGGTGGGAGACAGGGAGCGACAGCGACCGAAGCAGACCCGAGCGACCCAGCGAGCGAGCACCGGAAATGAGGCGGCGCGCGTGCGCAGCCGTCCTCCGGCACCGCCCTTGGGTTTCTCCGCGGAGAACAAAGTCCCTAGTTGGGCCACGGCGCCTGCGCACCTTCGCGGCGCAAGAAGACGCTATCACGTCGCTTTTCTTTTTCCCTCCGAGTCCGGCGAAATAGAGTTTGGTGCGCGTGCGCGGACGGCCGCGGGCTCAGTTGGTTTTGTTTTCCACGTGACTCGGCGCTAGCGGGACACGTGTCTCCTCCCCCATTCTGGCCAAGTGCGCGGAGGGGGCGGGGCTGTGGAATGTCTTTGTCTCCGCTCCGGCCCGTGGGGTGTGGGGCGGGAGACCTGTTACTGGCGGGCCACGCCTCCAACGGCTGAACTGTAGAGGGGGGTGCCGCAGAGTGGGAATGGGAGCTCAGTGGAGGTCGCCACCCTAGCAAGGACAGGGGAGGGGAGCTGCGTGGGGAACGCGAGAAGAGAAGGAAGGAGAATTGAGGCCGTCTGAGGCAGGAGGAGAGGAGGTAGAGACAGGGCTCTGAGTAAGAAGAGGTGAAGTCGGACGCAGGGATGAGTGGTGGGGGCGGGGAAGGAAAGCCTGAAGGGAGAAATTGAGGAAAGATGGCTCAGTGGGAAGACAGAAGGCCATTTATTAGAAAACTCGGGAAGAAGGAAGGTCGATCAGAGACCTGAAGTCCTGACCCAACCATGGTATCCAAGTATCACCAGTAGAATAGATTCTAAAACGTTTGTCGTTCGTGAGAGACGTCTTTCTTTTAATTAAAACATTTTAGTTTGTTGACATAGTCTGCTACTTTTTGCTGATTTAAAATGTATCTTCTGCGAAAAGCTGGATTTTCTACTACTGGTGTGCTGGTCCTCCAGCCTCTGTTGGGCCCTTAGCCTTGGATCGTTGGAGAAAAGCACTGCCCTAAAAGCCAATATAGGGCCGGGGATTTAGCTCAGTGGTTCCACCGCCTGCCTTGCAAGCTAAGGACCCGAGTTCAATCCCCGGTACTAAAAAAAGCGCCAACATATAGTCTCCCAAGGTATTCTCACCTGGGGTGCTATATGCAAGTGCAGCCTACCTGCATCTCTACCCTCTCAAGCCATCAAACACCTGGTACCTTCTCTAACTTTACCTGCCCTTCAGATTTTTGTTTCCCCAAAAGTACTCACTTGCATCTCTTTTCTTTCTGAATCTGATGGGCCCAACTTTCCAAAAATGCTTCTGGAAATTATCTTCTGGGTGCCTGGAAACTTATATTACCCCCTTCGGGAACCTGGCTAGTACTTTTTCGGAGGTAGGGAAGAGAAATTATTTAGTTACCCACAGAAATGAGAAGAAAACAAATATATTTAAGTAGCTATCTATCTATATATATAGATAGATAGCTACTTAGGGCCGGGGATTTAGCTCAGTGGTTCCGGCCCCTGCCTTCTTAAGCGCAAGGTCCTGAGTTCGATCTCCGGTACCAAAAAACAACAACACATATATATAGGTACTTAAATATACACATATAAAGTCTTCGGTGTGGTGCAGTGGTTTATTTTGAGGACACATAAGTGACTTGTTAGGTAGTCAAATAGGAAAAAGATTTTTTTTTTATTTCTGTGGCAACATTTCAACATAACCAAGATAAAACAATCATATTGCTAGGAATTTTATTTATTTTATTTTTTTCGGAGACAGGGTCTCACTGTGTATTCCAGGCTGGCCTTGAATTCACTATGTAGCCCAGGCTGGCTTCAAACTCACAGCGATCATCCTGCCTCAGCCTCCAGAGTACTGGGATCACACACCTGGCTTGCTAGAAATTTATAAAATTTGGACTACTCATCAATGATAAAGGTAGTGCCAGAGATGTAGCTCAGTGGCACAGCACCTGCCTGCCAAGTGCAAGGCCCTGAGTTTGATTCCCGGCACCAAAAAAAAAAAAATAATAATAATAAGGCATTGTTTGACAGTGCTTTCCATATAATTTATATCAAGCCAAATTTGCTTATTATTGGGCTGGGGATTTAGCTCGGTGGCACCAAGCCTACCTCAAAAGCACAAGGTCCTGAATTTGATCCCTGGTATAAAAAAATTTTTTTTTTTTTTGCTTATTATCTACCTTTTACAAAATGAGAGACACATCTAATGTTTTCTAGGGGCCCGACTAGAAAATCCCAAAATTAATTTGAGATCTAAAAGTTTTAATTGCCAGGCGTGGTAGCGCATGCCAGTGATCCTAGTACTCAGGAGGCTGAGTCAAGACTGCTTCGAATTCAAAGTCAGCCAGGACTACATAGTGAATTCAAGGCCAACCTGAACTATAATGCAAGACCCTGTCTCAAAAATAAATAAATAAAATTTATAAAGACTTAATTTAGAATTTGGTTTTGGAGCTGAGCACTGTGGCACACAACTACTCTTCCAGATACTCAGGAGACTGAAGCAGGAGGATTGCAAATTCAAGGCCAGTCTGGGTAACCTAGGGAAGTCCTGTCTCAAAGTAGGAAAGGCAGAGGATGTACCTCAGTGGTGGAGTGCTTGGTTCCCTTGAATGTATGGTTCAATTTTCAGTCAGAGGGGAATAAATCTGAGAAGAGATTCTCAGAGTAAATGATTTTGGGAAAAGATGAATGGACTCTTAGAAAAAGTGGGTGATGGTTTGTTGGTTTGTGAGAGGGGTCTGTGAGGGTGTGAAGTCTCCTCTTCTGGGGTAAAAGTTGATCTGTCCTGGTTATTGGAACTCCCCTGGAGAGGACTGAGGAGTTCTTGCCAAAGGATCTCTTTGGATAGATAGGGGGAATTCAGAACACCTTGCCTTGCATTTCCTGAAGTGCTTCAATGGCTAGCTTGTGTAGTGTAATAAACAACTGTCAAGATAACTGTAACAGTTAGGGATGAGTAAATTAAGTAGATATAAATAAGATAAAAGTTCGTAAGTGAACTTGTCACAATTTCAAATGTCTTTGTTAGTAATTCAAAATCTTAAGGTCATGTCATTTTTTCGTTTGGTTTTTGGGTTTTTTTGGTACTGGGGATTGAACTTGGGACCTTGCGCTTGCAAGGCAGGCAGTAGAACCACTGAGCTAAATTCCCGGCCCAAGTCCATGCCGTATTAAGTAATAGGTATTTGTGAAATGTATGAGTCATTTCTAAATTGAAACCCTGAAACATTAATTGCTAAATACACATTTCAAGTGTATGTACTTTGGAATCATATTTTTATGTTATAGAGAAGCTAAATATATTTGGATCTGTTAATAAATATGAAAAACTGTCTTAGGAAATATGTTTCCAAAAATTATGAAATGGCTGGGCATGGTGGCACATGCCTGGTAATCCCAGGACTTGGGAGGCTGAGGCAGGAGGATCGCTGTGAATTCGAGGCCAACATGGGCTACATAGTGAGTTTGAGGCCAGCCTGAACTACATAGCAAGACCCTGTCTCAAAAAACCCGAAAACAAAAACAAAAATTATGAAATGGCGCTCATCTACAAAATGCTGATACGAAATAGTTCAGAACTGCTAACTTCCTAGGTTTTCACTAGGTTACCAAGAATTAAAAATTGAAATTAATATATAGCAATTAAAACCAGAATAATCAACAACTGCTTATGCGAGGAAAGTAAGATTTTTTTTTTTTGGTTTCAGATGTACTGATCTATATTATGACAAGTAAAACAAAGCCACCTAGTCGATACTAGTCAAAACAGAAGTAAATAATAGAAATTGTTCTTATTTAATGGTGATACTGATTTATCAATATATGTATATAAATTTGTTTTGTGGTAACATGAATGTATGTGTGTATATCTAAAATGGCATCTTGAGCAGGGGATTTAGCTCAGTGGTTTTGCCACCTGCTGCGCAAGGGCAAGGACCCGAGTTCCATCCCTGGTACCAAAAAAATAAAATAAAATGGCATCTTATATGTTGAAACTGTCTTAAACAAGATTTGAATTTCTGAGTGTCTGGCTACTATTGTTGGTTGAGCAAATCATTGCAAATAGTTATTATCTTAATTCAAATTCTAAACATAAAATAATTAACAAAAATATTTGAGCGTTACCATCTTTCACTATATCAGTACTATTACATTAAAATGATCTTTTTCTAAAGCTACAAGGACAGCAAATCAGTAAGTCAGTCATTGGAATATATTTTCTATTGCCAGTTTTTACTCAATTGCATGTCTTGACTTACCACCTGTGAGGACAGACAATGTGCATCGGTCTTTGCTGATCATCACCTCCACCCAGACTGTCAAAAGAATGAAGAGTCAGATGTTGTGTATTTTCTCCATGATGAGATCTTGAATTATCTGATGAGTTTGAATGTTTCAAGTCTGACCCTTGCATTGATGAGTTATCCAGGTTTTCCTGTGCAGTATGAAGGTCAGAGTATACACTGTCCACTGAATTAAAATTCTCCAATAAATTCTCAGGGTTTCTCTGCTCCAGCTGTAAAGGAAGAGCCATGGAGAGGGCAGCACTGCCATTTCCTTTAAGGCTGAGCATCTTCTTTAAATGGGTTATTTTGTGCTTGGGCATGAATCTGCTCACATCAGGAAACCTGATGGGAAAGTAAATAGCTTGGCACTTGGGTCTGATGATTCTTTCTAGATCCTTGGCCATGTGATCAGGAATCAGCTTCATAAATTTTCCAATAGAAATGAGAAATGACTCCATATTGAAAACTGAGTTGAATACAACCACATCAGCCACTAAGCCGCCCCATGCCTCCTTTCCAAAGTTACTTTTTTTGGTACCGGGGATTGAACTCAGGTCCTTGCGCTTGCGCAGCAGGTGGCAAAAGCACTGAGCTAAATCCCTGGCCTCCAAAGTTACTTTTGCATGTAAGTATTTTTCTTTCAGTTGCTACCTGGTGCAAACCTTTAAAATGTCATGGTATTTTAAGACTGTATCATTTCAAAGATATGAAAGAATTTGGTTGTATCCATATTGAAAATCCCTCTCCTGACATTTCTTGACAGGATACACCAATTGGTTTTCCTGGAAGTACAGAATCTTTTTCAATTTCCCAAGGTCAGGCCAAAGGGCAGCCAGTTCAGTCAGGTTCACTGCAGGGGAATAAATCCTTGAATAAATCTTTTTTTTCTTTTTACCAAAATATATGGCCTCCTTTTCACTTGGTCAGCAGCAGGCAAATAAAACTAAATGTATGAAACCAAGTGGCCAGTAACAGTGTTGGTGAGCCAGACAGGAGGCAAGTCCCTGATCCTGAGACTCATGCATCCCTGAGGGAACTTGGGAAAAGGGACGGACTGCTAGTGGGTAGCTAAACCCATTGCCACAACTCCCAGGATATTCCAGCATCTGTTGGGAGACTTGCACTTGGGAGTCTCCCTCTTCTCCTGTTTGTGGCATCAGCTGCCTGTAAATGCTTTTGTTGGCAAAAGGAAGAAAGTTTGTTTAGGGAACTGATGGCCTCCACCTGGTTTCCCGCTGGAAAGTGTGTCCTACCATTTGGACCTTCTCTTAAGTCATTCAGTAGTGCTATTTAGGTAAGGTAAGTACTTTCACTATTTGGGGCCACTTTAGGCCTATTGCAAGTCATTTCAGGGCACTAACTGGTCGTCACTGCCATTTGGGTTGAGGCAAATGCCTTGACCATTTATGTCCACTTGGACCTATTGCAGGTTATTTGGGGACACTAACTGATATGAGAAGAGATTCAGAGGTGGAAAAAATTTCCAGGCATTTGTTTTGTTCTTTTGGTTTGCTTTGATATACTTTCATTTGCTTTTGTTTCTTTTATCTTTCTCTTGTTATAACCGCCTTTATCCTAGGATGGGCAGCAGGGTTTCAATACTTTCTAGAATTGTGTAAGCCATTTGGGGCTTCAAGCCATTCTGAGGCTTCTTTGTGACCCCATATAGAATTCAGGGTTCTTAAAACATTAGTCAACCAAAAAAAAGTTTGGATTAAGAGATTTTTAAGAAGGTAGAGACACTGGGGGTGTGTCTCAGGAGCTGTGTTGTAAATTGCTCAGGAATAAAAGTGCTTGTGCAACTTTGCAGCTCCCTAGAAAGTTTTGGCTACCCTGTGACTTAGAAAAAGTTGATTTTACTGTGATACAACCTGGCCTGTATAACTAAAAGCACATTCTGATTTTATACAGCTGTCCTTAAGAAGATTCTTTGAAGTAACTTTAGCCAGGATAACATCCACAGCTGCTTTCCTTGCCCTTTTCTAGATTAGTGATAAGTACAAGCAATAGTCTTCTGTATCCAGTGATCATGCAGCTACTTGGCTAATGTTGATAAGTTTTAATTAGGGTTTAAATTTCCCCTCATTTTGGCTAGCAGTCCTTGGTTCATTCTAAACCAGTTGTGTTTCGAAATATTTGTCAAAACTTTTTTGCTGAAAATTAATTTTTGTTTCCTGCCACCTCCATTCCTTAACTAAAAAAAAAAATGAAGAAATTTGACTAAAGATGGTGTGCCTTTAGTTTTTCTTAGTGGGGACTATTACTCCTAAACTGGTTTCTTTTTTCCATACTATCCTTGGGCAATAGAGCCAGGATAAGATGGTACACTTCTGACCAGCCACAGTATGTCTAAATTTTAACACAATGAAAAGTGTCTTAAAATCTAGGGCAAGAGCTTTTAAATTGACCAGGCATGGTGGCGCAGGCCTGTAATCCCAGCACTTGGGAGGCTGAGGCAGGAGGATTGCCAGGAGTTCAAGGCCAGCCTGAACTACATAGTGAGACCCTGTCTAAAAAAGAGCTTTTCAAACTAAAACCTATAATAAGTTAAGGCAGGGAAAAAAAGCTTCAGGAAGTTCAAAGTCAGATTAACTGACCAAGCAATTTCTTTTGAAATGTGTATTTCTCACCTGGCTACAACCAGGAATCTTACCTTCAGATATGCAAATTTAGGGGCGGGGGATTCAGCTCAGTAGTTTCGCCGCCTGCTGCTCAAGTGCAAGGACCAGAGTTCAATCCCTTGGTACCAAAAAAAAAAAAAATGAAAAATGAAATAATAAAAAATGCTGATGAGGCTGTGGGGAAAAAGGAACCATTCTACATTGCTGATGGAACTGTAAACTACTACAACATGGAGTAGTTCCAACTATAGAAATCAGTTATGGCAA